CTTTTTGTTCTAATACAGGTGTGCCTGAAGATGTTTGTGTATTGCTCAGCTCATTAACCTGGTGGTGTGGCACCAAGCAGCATCTTAGGCTGGGACCAGATGGAGAAGGCAGTGATTTGGCTCTTGACCATACAAATCAAAGGTTAAGATGCAAGACTATTTCTAAGTGACAGGATGGTTGTTCAGATGTCACCCAGACAGACTTCAGCTGCCCTTTTCATGACTTTTCCTCCTTTTATGAACTTTATGCCAGTTCAACTTTACTACCCAAGCAGTGGGTTCATTCAAGTACCATAATGGGGCATTAGTATCTTGTGGAAAGAACATGCTCCATTGAAAGAATGATGGCTGCCACTCATCTCCAGCCAACACTGGCTGGTCTCCTGGTTTGTCTAGAGAAACTAGAAATCCAGATTTTAAATTTTTACTTAACACAGATACATACATACACGTGAATTTAATATTTCTTTTATTCATTTTTGTTTTGTGCGTGTGTGTGTTTGACCTTCATGTCTGTGTACCATGTTTGTGCTTGGTGCCCAAGAAGATCAGAAAAAGATGTTGGATCCTCTAGCACTGGAGTTACAGATGGTTGTGAACCACCATTAAGTGCTAGGAATTGAATTTGGGTCCTCTACAAGAGTAACTGGTGCTCTTAACCACTGAACCATCTCTCCAGTCCCTGTATTTGTTTTTAGATGGTCTAACTATATAAGCCAAACTAATCTCAGATGCACAATCCTACTATCTCCACCTTCTTGAGTACTGTAATTATAGACATATATCGTCATACCTGGCTGAAATCCTTTTTGTGTGTATCTGCTTTCAGATGACTCAATAGTCACTGAATGGTCAAGTAAATCTTGGCTGTGGACTTTGCAGGGTCCATATGTGTACTTGGCCTTAGTTACCAAATCACTTTCCAACATTTATCACTAAAATTCTAAATCATTAGAAAAGTGTTATGGTTTTATGCTGCATAACTCTGTCCACCTCTCAACTAAATTCTATTAACTTTCACACATACAAGCCACAGTCAGTTACTTGTTTCAGTTGACTTTAATAGTACGGGATCTGAAAGGGCAGCATGGGGTAAGAAAGGGCTGTTGCATGGTCTAGTACACTAACCCAGTTCAGAATGTTCGGCTGACTCCAGCTCCCTGGTTCCTGTTTGGTCATGATTTCAAACTGGACCCCGGGGCTGGGGCAATGACTCAGTGGGCAACATGATTGCCATGAAAGCACAAAGAGCTGAATTTAGTTCCCCAGAACACGTGTAGAAGCCAGCTTAACAGTTGGTGTCTATAACCCCAGGGCTAGAAGTAGGGGTGGGAAGTAGGGGGCTGCAGAGGCAGTCAAATTCCTGAACCCACTGGTCAGCTAATCTAGTCGAATTGCTGAGCTCCAGTTTAAGAGGGGACTAGAGAGACAGCTCAGTAGTGAAGAGCATTTACAGAGACCTGGGTTTGGTTCTCAGCATCCACATGGTGGGTTCAAAACCATCCAAAACTCCAGTTCCAGCCCTCTGGAGCCCTCTTCTGGCCTCCTAGAACATCGGCATGCATGTTGTGCACACACATGCATGCAAATTTGACAAACACTCACACATAAAATAAAAATAAATCTTTAAAGGTACAAAGTGACTGATAAACATGCCTGACATCAGTCTTTGGCCTGTGCACAAGCCAGCACACACACACACACACACACACACACACACACACCACATACATACACAAATATACAATAAAACTGTTAGGTATAGTATTACAAACCTATAATCCCAGCATTTAAGGACAGAAAGTTAAATTAGAGGCTAAGCTGAACTACAGACCCTGTCAAAATGACTAATAAATACCCGAGGATCTAAGACTTCAGAACCTTATGAGCAGGGTAGTCTATGAAGGCCCACCTTGAAAATCCAGGACAAATTCCAGAAATTGAACCCTGGACTCAAAGGGCCTGGTCTCAACAGCATAGGTTCTCCATCTCCCCAATGTGGTCAGAGCTTCAAGAAGGACTACAAGCCTTGGATTACCTTGTATGACCCTCTGTGCCATCAAGAGTGGCCAGGCACAGAGTGTGGTTCCTTTTGTCAGCGAGAGCCAGCAGAGATTGCTCGAACCAAGTTTGTGAGAGTGAGATGGCTTTGGAGCAGAACGGCTTTGCACAGAGGATGCTGGTTTGAGGCGGGAGAACCTAGAAGCGAAGGCGAACTCATTCTTTAATTAAGTCCCATGAGACCTAGTGCAGAACACTTTTACAGGTTGAAAATAGCCTGCCTTGGGGTTCCCACGAGTGCACTGGGACTCTCGGAAGGAATTGAAATCCTGACAGCCGCTCTCAAGTTGGTATATCTAGAGAGATTGATTGACAGCCTGCTCTAGTCCTTTGTGGCAACTGAGGAGCATCTGGGGCACAGAGCAGGAGAGAAAGCTCTCGTCCCTACCACCATCACCACATCTCTCCACTGCGCTTAAAGAAAATTCCATTTCCTGATCAGAAGCAGCGTATCATTAAGGGATGTGAATCTCCATGG